CGGCATAAAAAACGGTCATTTGGTTGCTTGGCGACTATCCTCTCCCGTAGGGTCGGTCCCACAACCAAAGAGGCCAACATGCCCCCGGCTGCTGAGGTCGACTCCACTGCCTCTAGCCGCAATCGCTCGAACTCCGGAAGAAGAACATCCTGCTCGGTAAACAAGCAAGAAAGCTGGCCATAACTCCTCCGACTAAGGGCATCGGCTACCATATTAGCTTTCCCAGGATGATAGCTAATGGTGCAGTCGTAGTCCTTGACCAGCTCCAACCATCTACGTTGCCTCATGTTCAGCTCCTTCTGAGTGAAAATGTACTTTAGGCTCTTGTGGTCGGTAAAGATCTCGCACTTGCCTCCATAGAGGTAGTGCCGCCAAATCTTCAAGGCGTGGACAACATCAGCTAACTCGAGATCATGAGTGGGATAGTTCTGCTCGTGAGGCTTCAGCTACCTCGAAGCATAGGCTACGACTTTCCCCTGTTGCATGAGGACACAATCCAGGCCCATCTTCGAAGCATCACTATAGACGGTGAACTCAAAAGTAGGGTCGGGTATGGATAGGACAGGCGCGGTAGTGAGTCTCCTCTTCAACTCCTGGAAACTCTCCTCGCACTTAGGACTCCAATCAAACCTCACGGCCTTCTTCGTAAGGTTGGTCAGTGGCTGGGCTATCATCGAGAAACCCTCGATAAACCTCCTGTAGTATCCTTCTAACCCCAGAAAACTACGAACATCTGTGGCACTTCTTGGTGTATCCCATTTGCTCAACGCCTCGATCTTGCTGGGATCCACCTCAATGCCTCTAGCTGTCACAATGTGGCCAAGGAATGCCACACGGTTCAGCCAGAACTCGCACTTCGAGAACTTAGCATACAACTTCTCGCGACGAAGAGTCTCCAGCACAATCCTCAGATGCTCCTAGTGCTGATCGATATCTCGGGAGTAGAACAGAATGTCGTTGCTGAACACAATGACGAACTGGTCCAGGAAAGGATGAAAGACCCTATTCATAAGGTCCATGAAAACGGCCAGGGCATTACTGAGTCCGAAAGGCATGACTACAAACTCATAGTGGCCATATCGGCTACGGAAAGCAGTCTTGGAGATATCCGACTCCTGGATCTTCAACTGATGATAGCCAGATCGCAAATCAATCTTTGAAAAGACGCTGGCTCCTCTCAGGTGGTCGAAAAGGTCCTCAATACGGGGAAGGGGGTACTTGTTCTTGACTGTAAGGGCATTCAACTCCCGATAGTCAATGCACATACGCATAGATCCGTCTTTCTTCTTCACAAATAGGACGGGCGCACCCCACGGTGAAACACTCGGACGAATGAAACCGAGCTTAAGCAACTCCTGGATCTGGGCCATGAGCTCTTGAAGCTCCATCGGCGCCATACGATAAGGGGCCTTAGAAACGGGGCCGGCTCCGGGAATTAGGTCAATAGTGAACTCCACCTGGCGGTCTGGTGGTCCTCCGGGTAATTCATCCGGGAAGACATCGAGGTACTCGCATACGATAGATACTCGCTTGGGTACCCGCTCATCAACAACGTCGGATACCATGGAAACAAGATAGCCTTGACAGCTACCCTTGGAAAGGCTCTTCCTAGCTTGCATAGAAGAGATGACCCGCGGTACGGTCCTCGAACTCACCC